TGGATTTCTGAATCACTGTGTCTGAGTTCTGTTGATCTCTCAGTGATGTTTCGGGTGTGAGGTTTGTTGTGGTTTATATTGAGGTTTTCTTGAAGACTTCGTGCGCTTAGTGCCGGTCTGCATGTGAAATTTGTTTTTGTTTTCGGCCATAGGATTTCTCCGAGTTTCATTAATCTCTCGGTGATTTTTGGTTTGAGGTTGATTGGGTTTATTAGGGTTTATTGGGGTTTATTGACGTTTTCTTGAAGACTTTGTGAGGTTTGCCGGTTTGCATGTGAAATGGAATGTGAGCGCGCGGATCTGAAATCGTCATTTGGTGTTTGGATTTCTGAATCACTGTGTCTGAGTTCTGTTGATCTCTCAGTGATGTTTCGGGTGTGAGGTTTTTTGTGGTTTATATTGAGGTTTTCTTGAAGACTTCGTGCGCTTAGTGCCGGTCTGCATGTGAAATGGAATGTGAGCGCGCAGTTGTGAAATGCGACTTTTTGTGTGAGGTTCGTTGACGGTTTAATGAGGCTTTCTTGAAGACTTCATGAGGTTGACCTTTTTGCACGTGAAATGGATACTATCTGATTGTCTACAAATCTTTTGTCGATCTTAATCTACACGCAAGGGTAAATGCAGAATTTGTTAAGAACAAATCAAAATTGAGGAGACGTTTGGTGTGCAGGAATGGAATTTTAACAAAAACGTTCAGTGTTTGGTGACATAAGCAAACACGAGACATAAGTGAAAAAGCTGACACTAATTTTGGAAACTGAACGCCAGACAGTTTTATTCCTCTGCGTATTTTTCTCCGTCTTGTTTTAGTCACTGAGGGGCGAGAAAAAAATCTTCCCCCACTTAATCGCCATCTTAAAAGGCAACCTTAGCCCCGACCCGTCGTTAATGGACCTGAATCCTATACGGCGTGTGCGTGACTCGAGATAATGCGATTTTGATTTTTTTTTTCCAAGCGAGTCAGGGCCCAGTTAGCTCGAGGGCCGAACGTGCAGAAATCGCCGACGGAGCGCATGTTCAGTGGCGCGCGAGAGTGAGCGTAAGAAAGATGCCGCTCAAATGAAGAAAAATACTGGCCGACGAAAAGGTCGAAAAAAAACACACACACACAACACGACAAACGCGTTATAAAAAAAAATACGAGAACCTTAATGGATTTTATCTGTTAAGGCGCTGTCGGGATTATAGGTGTTGTTTCACGTTTGCTTGCGCAAGGAGAGTGTGGAGAGACGGTGGAGATATATATTTGGCTGGCTGTGTAAGAGGGTGATATTTTCTGATGTGTTTGCTTAATCCCCGTCAACATGACATACCACATGTAATCACTGCTTTAATTCAAGGCTAGTTTGCACAGGTACCTTTTTGCACATGGTTAATTTTTCAAGCTTGGGTCATCAGAAAGAAATGATAATGTCTTCCGATAAGAAACACCACAGCTTTATTCTAGTCTTAATCTCCGAAGATATCGCATCTTGCGAAACTAACCAGAATATATTCATATTTTTCGTCCGGCTTACCTTACTTCAGAGGCAAAATATTTGAGAATCAGATATAGAGATAGACGCCTTTAGATAGAAAAAAAGACATGAATATACAATATTGTTGTTTAAAATGTTGCCATAGTTTGGCTTGTGTGGCTGTCTCATCCTCCCATCATTGGTTTTGTATCTACGAGGTTGTGAGATTATTTTACCGGTTTATTTGTTTTTGTCGGTTTTTCCCTGCAACTTTGAGCAATTTTTGAGACTTTGAACAAGTCCCTCGACAACGACCAGAACAGATTTGTTGGAAATGTTGAGTTAAATACACACAAGTACTTGTCCAATCAGCAAACGGCATTTAACGTCACATGGTGTCCCCTCATGCTTTCAGCTATGATCAGAACATTGATTTTGTTTAGCTCTCTTTTTCTCTTGCTTTTGTTTTAAGAAAACGGTAAAAAAATGTTGAAGCCTCAAACAAACTTGTTATGGCATCGAATGTTATGTACCCTTATGCCAAGCAGCGTTGAACTTGCCAGAACACACCCACATCCATCCTTGAAAAACTAAAGTCTGATTTGACTAGAATACAGTAAATTAAAGTTGTATACCCGTGCAGCTGATGAAAGCTCTGACAGCATTTTGTTTCTAAAGTTCTTGTTTGCTTCGGGAAAAAAAATCTGATGGAGCCTCAATTTCTCTGGATCTGTCGGCTGTAACTGGGACCGTGATCAAGCCCCAGAGTCCCAGTTTCTGCCTTTTTACCTTGGCCTGATAGCCCAGCACCGCTGTGATGGATGACTAGGGAATACGTGACTTCAATAATCGCGAGTAGACTGAAGTCTCTTTAATTAACTCTGGCTCGTTCCCCCTCTCTCCCTGCTCCGAACTCCACTTACTCTCAAAAATAGAAGGGAAAAAATTACTAAGAGTCAATTTTGACGAGCCACAACCGTATACCGGCGCGGGCGGGAAGGAAAAACAGACATAACATCGGGCAATTTGTGTGTGTTGCGCGTGCATTACACATGACCGCGTCATTGGCGCGGGCGTACGGTTTATCAGACTTTTTCTTTGGTATAATAATTATTGCCTTGTCGGGTACGATTCGGCGATGTCGTCTTGGCGTGTTTACCTTTGTTTAGGGCCCGGACCGATGAAATCTCAGTGTGAATTGTTTGGATTCAGATCTTGTGTAAGGAGTTATTGTGGAATAACAACTATCAGAGTTGCTTTGTGTTGCATGAGTCGTACGCACCACGCAATTGTCCCGATTATAGAGACACAATATTAAAATGCGCTGTATCTTCCTTGAAATTCCCATCCGATGTAGACACAATGTGGTTTCCCTTCTTTTACAAAAATTTAACAGTCACCACAAATAAAAGATCGTGGTGTGCGTTTTATGATGTTCTCAAGATAATAACAAATTCAATCTTTGTATTGCTCATTGCGTTGGCGTTAATGGCATTTGGAAGAAAATCAATCATTCAGCAGCTCCGTTAATAGAGTGTTTGACTTTTGATCTGTACGCCCAACGATGATTCATAACTCTCTGCAAATATTGAAATCAAAATTAATATGAAAATATTTCAAACACCATAAGCTGCAAGCCAGATTGAAAATTACATTATTACATGATAATAGTTGGGCCTACACCTATAGCCAAACGCGCTGTATCACTATTATCTTTCCACATAAAAGGAACAGCGAGTAAAACAAATCGTTCAAACTAATTGTTGAAAGCTTCCGTATAATCTTCTCCCTCACTTTTAAAAGCCATTCTATTTGCGATTACTTCTAGGATGTACAGATGAAACCTTTTGCAACCGAAATCCGCTGCAGTTAAAAAAAAAAACGCGTGACAGACTCGCGTTGATCTTCCGAATATTAACCCACTGTACCGTAGTTAAAAAAAAACCTCAAACCTACAAGTGAAACTTTACACCCGTGCAAGACAAACCATCGACGGGGGACTATAAAAAAGACACGACGAATCTAGTCTCTTATACCTTCACATCACGAACTGCGAACCTAAGCAGTTCAGAACCCGCATGTGTCTGTAATATCATCTGCGCCTTTCGTTTTTCAATTACCCGGTTTGTTTTGACAGTCGGGCTCAGATTCAGTCTTCCAGGTTACAGAACACCGCTAGTTTTTTAACCTCTATTTCTTTTTGTCATCAAAACGTGACTCTTCACGTTTGACTTTTTCTCTTCTTCTTCTTCTTCTTGTTCTTCCTCTTCGTTCCTACGCGCGCGATCGATTCTGTACAAGCGGCAGTAATTCTAGTGTTACCGGTCGCTGAGTTCGCAGGAATCAATGAGACTCGAACTTGAGTGACGGCAAATGCTTGTCCATCCGATTTAATTTTGTCCTTCTGTTTCCCTTGGAGTTTGTCACTTCGCGCACCAAGTATACAGCGCGTCCCAAATTACCCGCAATTTCTTTTTTATTTGTGAGGCTCTAGCGTCGGCGCGGAAACACGTACCGCCATTAATTTGATACCATTTTAAAGCTTGGAATCTGAACTTTATCCCTGGCGAGTATTGGTTTGATATTTTAAAGAGTTTGAAAATTATTTGTGTTCAAATAAAGGCATATCGAAAACAGACTCAACCGATTTCAAGGAAATCGATGATGCGGTACATCAGATGCAAACTTGAGTCACACTTTGAGCGCACTTTTTGAATAGGTACATACTTGCACGTGAGTTTCAAAATTGAACTTGAAACGAAGAACAATATTGTGAATTCATTTAAGGTGTAGTCTACGTGGATCGCAAAGAATAGGAAACACAGAAAGTAAAAGGCAACAAGATCGTCTCATCATGAACATGATGAACCATTTCCACATTAGAAACAAAATGCGCATGATTGATTTTCCTTGAAATCGGTTGAGTTTGTTTTTGACATGCCTTTATTTGAACATGCATCATTTCAAAACCCTTTCGAAAATCAAACCAATACTCACCAAGGATAACGTTGAGATTCCAAGCTTTAAAATGGTAGAAAACTAATGGCGGTACGTGTTTCCGCGGCGACGCTAGAGCCTCGCAAAAAAAAATGTTGCGGGTATTTTGGGACGCGCTGAATAAGTATGATTTGTTGCCACGCAATGGTTTGACTGATAAATTTCCATGTGTGTGTGTGTGTGTGTTTTAATGGCCAGCTTTACCATTCTATTATTTGCATGCACCTTTCATCCGTTCCATGTCATTCATATAGCGCTTGCCATGCAATGGTTGTTTGTGCTACATCCGTATATGCCCTGGCTATGACGTCATTTGACGCAATGAATTATGGGAAATATTAATCCGCCATGTTGGACCCGTCACGGTCACTAATCCCACTCGGTACTAATACACATTACCCATTCATCTCATGCCAATGAATAACTCCAAAACAACTAACTCTTTATTATTTTGGGAAAAGTGACTTATTTTTGGGTCATTTTTTGAAGAGAATTTTCGTTCCATAACTGAAAAGAAAATTCGGTATATTTTTTCGCCTCATGCAGAAAACCCAGCAAGCAGCTTAGGAGGACATGTCTGGAACCGTAAGCACTTTTCCAAATTATTGTCATATTTTTATTTTTTTTGTCCCAAGAAAAAGTTTGTACAAAAATTCCCCGAATATTTCCCATAATGCATTGCCGAGAAACACTCCGACGTTAAATGTGCACAGACTGAAAAACGTAATACAGTCAGTGTTTATTTGTGTGTGAACTTTGTATACGAAATCTTGCAACATACTCGTTGACTGTCCTTTATTTTTCCGCTTTCCTCCAAAAAAGGTTTGCATTTTTTATGGTTTCGAAAGTGCTGTACACCTTTCTTTGTTTCAATATCCGATCCAATACTGCTGCACTTATGGCATCTTAAACTTAAAGTGTGCATGCCAATTTAGTCCCAGCAAAAGTATAATGCAACTTTTCTTTTCTCTCTTTTTTGTCCCCAAAACATAAATGTCAGTACTGTACCGTGCAATAGTAAACTGTATATTTGTGAATAACATGTACCTATGGACAAGGAGAAATGATCGCCGTGTGTTTTCCGTACAGTGACTGGAATTCCAATCAGCTCCCACTCACTAGAGAAGCTAGTCAATCTTCTGACACAGTTTATCTGGCAGTGTCGTTACCACACATTAAGGTCTTGCTTTGAAAGCTTTTGAATGCAAGCGGGATATTACATGTTGTGTTTGTATTTCTGCAGGGAGTGGTCAGATCCAGCTGTGGCAGTTCCTACTGGAGCTCTTGTCCGACAGCTCCAACGCCAACTGCATCACGTGGGAGGGCACCAACGGGGAGTTCAAGATGACCGACCCGGACGAGGTGGCCCGCCGCTGGGGCGAACGTAAGAGCAAACCCAACATGAACTACGACAAGCTCAGCCGGGCCCTGCGCTACTACTACGACAAGAACATTATGACCAAGGTCCACGGCAAGCGCTACGCCTACAAGTTCGACTTCGCGGGGCTGGCCCAGGCCATGCAGCCGGTGCAGGCCGACCCGAGCGTCTACCGTTACCAGTCGGACTTGAGCTACTTGGCCCAGGGCTATCACCACCCCAGCAAGATCAACTTTGTGGGCACGCCCATCCCCTCCACCAACGCCGGCCTCTTCAGCTCGCACGGATCGTATTGGTCGTCGCCCAGCGCCGCCAATATCTACCCGAGCAGTCACGTGACCCATCCGCACAGTCACGTGTCACCGCACATAGGCACGTATTACGGGTAGACTGTGACGATGCCGGTTGTTGTTTTGACTGATAAAAGTGCCATGGTTTAAGAAAAACACTCGAATACCGATGGTTAAAAAAAAACGTAACGAACTTACTCCAGCCTGTTTTTAAACGGCATCTTCAACAACCAGGATTAAGGTAGCCGCCGAGGTACCTTGTGGTTATTTTTAATCGTGAAACTGATTATCATGTCGACACTGCAAGTTGGGAATACCAATATTTTTGACCGGGTTCTCTCGGCCACCGTTTGTTTAATTTAATACTAATCTCATAAAACTTGTAAAATCGAGAACGGAAAATTTTTGCCGACAAAATTCCATCTCATGTCGACTTCTGGCAACGGATATGCAAATCTGCATACCAATGTGTTTAATTCTGTAAAGATAAAAAAGGGGTATGGTTTCCTAGGCAACGAAATTGATTTTTAACAGTAGCTTTCAATTACAAAATCCCTGTTATATGTTTTGTAATGGCTTCCTTGAAAACAGCATTTTATTATAAAAAAAAATACCGTTATATTTCGTTCTTTTCGAAATGGAGCGTCGACCTTTTATTGAGCCAGTAGGGCTAGTATAGATGTAGTGAATTGGCCAACATAGCATTTTTTGGCGTCTATATTGAGGTATGTTTGAATATTTTTCCAACCTTCTAATTGTGTTATATCCTTGCCGTTTCGCGAGCAAGGTGTGCGTTGTCTAGTCCTCCGAAAAAAAGCTCTAGTGAATGGATCACTGGCTTCATTAGGACTGTCGTTATACGCGGGCGAAAGGCAAATGCGACCAACGAGGCCCAATGCAGACGAACGTTAATCACACTGGCGCCAACAAATACGCAGCGCAAAGTATCAAAAAATCACTGCGCGCGGACCGCTACAATAAAAAAAATCTTTGGTAGTCGTTTCTGCATTATTCCATTCCATTTCGGGTCATTAATTTTAATTCCAATGTTATTTCTGCGTCCTCTTGTTTCTCCCGCGGCTGGCGACCGCATCGGGCCCGGCGAATGAGAGAGATTTCCTTCGTTTTGATAAAGAATTTTGTGAAATTGAAATGTTTTTAGGACTAATTTCGGCGCTGTGAGATGTGCTGTGGATCATAAGCAGAGGAAACGGTGCAATATGAAGTCTAGAGAAAAAATAAGCAGTTGGAATGTAGAGACATTTTGTGGTGCTAGATAATTGTTCAAGTAATACATGTTCAAGTAATTGTTCAAGTAATACATGTCAGATCTGGAGTGCTACTATATAGGAGTCGAACACCCGAACTTATAGTACATTAGACTTCTGGTGTTCCTGCAATACATGTCAGAACTGAAGTGTAAGTAAGAGTCGAACACCCGAACTTAGTACATTAGAGTTCTGGTGTTCGACCAATACATGTCAGAGCTGGAGTGTAAGTAAGAGTCGAACACCCGAACTTAGTACATTAGAGTTCTGGTGTTCGACCAATACATGTCAGAACTGGAGTGTAAGTAAGAGTCGAACACCCGAACTCAGTCCATTACAGTTCGGGTGTTCGACTAGCATGCACGCTCAGCAACACTACTATCCAAACCCCATGTAACTTCACATGGAGCGACACCAACGACTGGTTTCTAAACATTTTCGGGCAATCATTTCGATGTGTGTAAAGGTGTTTTAGACAACCTGTCCAATATGTCACATTCAAAGCCGTGAAAATGCGAACGGGGGGGGGTCCGCTTTCATTTATTAACACTGCGTTTGATTTGAAAACTTTGTTAGAAAAACGTTTTCTCGAACGCTTGCAAAACGTTAACGGGTCCCTTCTTCGACTGGTACCGTGCATGCATTTAACCCGGCGGGGAATCATGCGGAACCAGCCGAAATCCCGGGAGTGTTTCCCCAAGTAGTGCGCAATGCATGCGCTGGACGTTGAGGTTTTAATGTAAACGCGACAAATGAGAAGTTCGTAACATTCCATGCAAAGGCAGTTTGTACTTTTTAAGTTTGGAGAAATCTTCTATTATGCTAGACAGCAACAGTCTTACAAATTAGTCAAACTTGACTGGGGCATTAGATGGGTCATACGAGTGTGTCTGGACCAATTAATGTGCATGCACGAAATACAGACTGCCTACAACATAATTATCAACGAACCATTCCATTTTAACGACAAATTAAATCATATTTTTTTATTGGGATTTTTTAAGCTTTAGCGCAGCTTCACCCTATTACAGTTTAAGATATTTTTTCCGATTTGACGAGTCAGTATGTATATTTTGTTATCAGGTCAGGGTTGCTTAAAGCCACACAATCTCAGTGATATACCAGTTTTAACTTTCACTTTCTTTCAGTTTATGAAAATCTCGATTTACGAGTTCCTTTCTCTTAAATGAAAAAAAGGCCAATAATATGGTCAGGAAAAAGCGGTGCCTAAACATTGTGCAATGCCAGGTGTTACCGAATTAATAAAAAAAAAATTAAACAAAATTGTAAATAGATATTTTAGAACCTAGTTTAACATGTATCAGTAACCTATATTTTGTAGTTCTATCGCTGTGAAGGCATCAGATACTTACAGAGTTATTTTGGGCGGCACTTCCCTTTTTATTTATTATTTAAAATAGAAAATGCAATTTCCGGAAATATTTGAAGTTATAATTATTTTCTGATGGATGTTGGCTGTGCCAATCACTGGGACTCTTGTGCAAGATATATTTTGTAGAATAGTTTGTTTCCTTATATGATTTCAATGGAATTTTCTATTACAATAATTGCTGCTGGACGCGTACGAATTATCCGAAATGATTTTTTTTTCCTGTTTGAATTTTTGTGTTTGTTTTTCGTCAAAATAGAAAAAATCTTGTTTGTGTAAGTACGGGTATATTTCAAAACAAGATGACGCAATGTCGAAACGCCGCCCGATCCGACATTTTTTTTTGGAGTTTACTGCTTAACGGCGGAAGTTTCTTAAAAACGTGTATAATTGTAGATAAATCAAAGAAGACATCATGTCTGCTACATTCCAATATTATTAACATTTATGTTCCTTTGTAAGTCAAAAGGAATGTGAAAGTCAAAAAAAAGATTATCTCCTGGTTTTTTTGGTTTGGTTGTACTTTCGAGGCAATAACAAGCAACCAGAAAAAAGGCGCCATTGTTTAAAGTTGGAGTTTCGTGACGTCATCATGCCGTCATCGACTGAGCGACCAAAATGGGAAACAACCATTATAATCTCGTTAAAGAATCCTGTGTTTAACGTAATCTTTCTGAGGCGTCGAATTGGATATCGTTTCTGCTTAATGATAAACCCTTTGAGCAACAATGTAGCGTTAGAAAGTAGAGGCATAACGTTTATATATGAACATTGATTGGACGGGCCATTGAATGTCAAAGTTCAAACAATCTGAATACTTAATGAAACGAATTGAAATGACTAATATACTAGCCTATAGCAAACTTTTTACTCCGCAATACCGAGATTACGAGAGAGGGCGCTCTGAGAAAATGCCGTCTACTTTTGTATCTTTGTAAATATTGTTTTAAACAAACTCCTTTTTTACTAGTATTTTGAAAAGATGGCCTGACTTCACTTTTGTGTGCAGTCGTAGGCTTTTTCTCAAGACGCTAGAGTTAATTGAAAGTAATAAAAAAAATAGCACTTGATAATTTATTATTGTTATATATAGTTTTAAGGTGAGTCAGGTGTGAATCGGAGTCGCCAGCGGGAGGAGTGGCTGGAATTTTTTTTTGAAAACATGGACCAACTTGTTTTTATCACATGATCGTATGAGGTTCCTCGCATGATCGTGCGATACGTTGCACGTGTCTTCCACATGGTTGACACATGCTCCTCAAACATGACGTTGTACGACATGAGCGATACCTTTCACGTGTATACCACGTGGTTGTCACATGCTCCTCCATGTTACGGCATTGTACGACATGAGTGTCACATGGGTGCCACATTGGTGTATGTGTGGTTTCACATGGGTGTCACATGGGTGTCACATGGGTGTCACATGGCCACTCCCCCGTCGCTGGCAAGGGCCACTTCGAATCATATACCTCCATTTTCGCTGAAATCAAGTGTTTAAGTAGAGAGAGAGAATTTTGAAGATGACAAAATATATATTAATATAATAACGATTGCGTTCTGATATCACGTTGATTTTTTCTTACATTCCAGAGTGTGTATAAAAGAAAAAGAAAACTCCTATGGATTATTATCTTATACCTTAATTGCGTTTTGCTGTAAATGTTTGTGTTGACGATAGGACCAAACTATCATTGTTGTATTTTAGGTTGAGTACCTTTTGAGCTTGTACAAAGCTGGGGACACTTGATATTATGAAAAATAAATACAGAGATTTTCTGGAACGTTATTGTACAAAACAAATGAGTTATCTGTCTGTTACTTGTATTTCCTGTGATTCGTTTCTTGTTGAATGTTGGTTTCATGGCTGTACAATTTAATTGTGTCATTCTATAAATTTGGGGTCCTTTTTTTTCGTGACTGTCTCTATTTTTATCCGACATAAATGATTTTCTATAAATTCTGGATGCACTCCTTAATGAAGTCGATCTGATACACCGTGCCCTCTGGAAACATGCACACAATAGGGAACAAAAGATTGTATACGTCTCCACAGGGCAATTTCTATAGATGAATACGTCTCCAAAAAGTTCAAACAAGTTAAAAGTATGTAGGTTAAATTCCTGTCAAAAGTGGGTTTCCTTCTTTTTGCACCACCCTGTACATTACATATGGACTGTTTTAACTTCGGAGAGATTACCATGAACTGGTTTGGTCGGGTAGGATTCTTTTACTACAGAAGGTCGATACAAGACAAGGAAACGTAACAGAAGTTAACATTTATGACATGATGAGTCAGAATGATATCCCGTTTATTTTGTACGCTACAAATCCTTTCCATTTAAAACACTAAAGTCAGACAGTGGAACTACAAAGCGACAATGTGTAAATTACAAGTCACAATCTTTCACAATAAGGTATCCCAAAAAAAACTATTTCGGTATAGCCGTCAACGAATAAAGGGAACTACGTGACAAAATATTTGTCAGCAACAGTTACAAAATGCACATTACGTTAAGGAGAAACCACACAAAAATTAGGTGGAAATTCTTTGATTCGAATCTCCTTTTTCGTGGTTTCTCCGACTTAAACTACGTTCCTCCCGCGACTATTGTCCGGTATACAAGGGAACAGAATGTGTCGATTCTTATTAATGCTTTGAGCTATGAGATGAATTCCGTAAATCCTTTGCTCAGTGTTGGCTTGCTATGTTAAACCCTTAATGGTGGCCTTAGTTATGCGCTTGTACCGTTACCGGATCTTATTGTTAACCCTTCGCATGGGTGCACACCTTTTGCTCCATTCATCACTATACACTGTATATTTGCCCTAGAAATACGTTGAGAGTCACACACATGCAGTCACCATCGTTACCTTTTATTTCCAAAACGGAGTATTATACATGTACATGTATGTTAGTGTTACAGCTACGAAAATGTACTTGATAACTCCCTAGCGTGATTTACTAGGAACCATACCCATCCTGGCCAATTCCAACAGCATGTGGGAAACTGCGAACACGTATTTCTGACTTTGATTCTGGAGGTGTGCCAACCCAAGGTAAAAGACTGTCAGTTTAGGAGTACTGTACCCATCCTGACAGATTCCAACAAGACATGCCGTTGGGGTTTGATGAGTTGAGTTCTGTTGGGGTTAAAACTATTAATTGCTATCGATGTGATCGTACGGGATTGAGGATTTTTAACACCAACCACTAGGAAGTTTGGCGAACTGCTCATTTGTGGGACCACATTTCATTGTCCATTGTCCACTCAAATGAAGACCTTGATGTTTGTTATAACATGCAGTACACATCAAAATATCTGACCACCACAGGGAATTATTACGCTTGGAAAATACACAACATTGGAGCATCATCTGTGAATTATTGATCGGTAAGTTTCTAACTGTCAATTTTATTTATTTAGTTATTTATCTGAAAGGAATGTTGCATCCTGACGCCATTTTGTTTCATGAAATATTATCTCAATGAAGGTCAGTCATTGCAAAAATGTTGAAAAGACATGAATCTGGGACTGAGAAACATTTCCAATATTGTTAGAAAATACTTTGAAAATGCACTCGACTCTCCATAGACATTGTACACAACCAGAGAAGTGGCGTCTGGACAATACATTCTGGAAAGATTTCCATACCTGAACATCACTTGTCACCATGTGCACAACCCCTATGAGACTGGTCTGAAAATGTCTGTGTTTTCTCAGTAAATGCTTCAATTATTTTCCCTTTTTGTGATTTTTTTTACGCGCCATTACTTAAATAACAGAGAAAGAGTTATGATAAAACTGAAAGTAAATGGGTTAAGATTAGATGTGAACTTAAAAAACATTGAAAGCCGGAAAAAGTGAAATTCAGTGAAAATCGCTACAAAGGTAATTTTAGAATGAAAAAAAAAGTAAAAACAAACGATAAAAATTAAGTTAAAATAATTTTAACATTAAAATATAAATAACATATGTAAATAAAAAACAATACTAATTAAAGGGGGAAAAGACAATTAAAACTAGATAAAAATAAAAAAGGAGAGTATTTTATATACTATTTCTTTTTAAATGAAGGTCTATAATCGCCACCAAAAATAGAACGAAAAATATCAGAGCGGAAATTGAAAAATGCAAAGAGAACATTAAGTTGTGTAAACAAAATTTAAAGAATTTACCAAAATGCTAAAAGGCAACGTTAAAATAGTTCACTGTAAAAACATTCCTTAAATTTACGGCGAAAAGTTTACGGAATTGCTCCGTAATAATTTACGGAGAGGTACTGTAGCTCAGTTAGCGGATGCGAGGCAAATTTCCGTATTTTGCGGTAAGTTCTTTGAATCTTCCTGTTTTTTTTCACGGCTAGCATAAAGAGACACCGTTATTTTACATGTACTGTAAAATATTCCTTAAATTTACGGCGAAAATTTTAGTTATTAAAACACAACAAAACCTGACGATTCTCAAAATAATCTACAGTTAAAGTGTAGTGTTTTTTACTCAACCTGCACAGGACGAATGTTTGGCATCAAAAGCGAAACAATGCGCATTATCCCAAATTCTCCAAAATCCTTTTCGCAAATTGGAGGAATTTGCAGGATTGAGGTTACATGGAAAAAGGGCGTTGCTGATTTCGGAGGACGCACTGTGTTAAGTTTTTGGGCCGGACCTTGTGTTGTTTATGCTCAGCCTTGCATACAAGTCCTTGATTATACTTGAAATCCACCGCACTGCTCCAGGATGTCACTGCCTCTGCCTCAATATGTTGACAGTCATAGCTGGAGGATTTTGCAGGATTCAGGCAGTGATCACCCCTCTAAGGGCCACATTCAAGAAATAACGGAGGATTTTGCAGGATTGAGGCTTTATGCTATTTTTACATGAAGGCAGTTGGAGGATTTTGCAGGATTGAGGTTACATCCCAGCAAAAATGCCTAGGGAGTTAGGGTTAGTGATTCGTTAGTGGAAAGACACGTGGAGCCTTTTGTGGGCTTTTCTTAACTCATCATCAATACCTCTAACCATTGACTAAATTAATCAAAACGTGGGGTTTTTTTGCAAGAACATTTTTATATCGGTAATGTGCACTAAACGTATTGCTTTTATAAATGACCTTGTTAATTTCATCTTTCATTCGGACAAAGCTAATTGCCCACAGGCCCCCACTGAATTATGCAATATCGCAGTGATTTCTGCGGCGCCTTCAGCGCAATCGATTAGATTACCTCCGTCCCCAGCCGAGAAGGCAAACCACAACAAACGACCCAAAAATGTGTCTGATTGCCAACAAAAACACCTGTTTTTAGGGGGGGGCATGCAGGCCATTAGCGTCCACAATAGGTCGCGGCTAAGAAATCGCCTCGAAAATGCGCGCAATTAAGGATCGCCACGCCGTCGATAAACCAAAAAAAAAAAAAGGCCGGGAAGAGTGAAAGTGGGCGGCAGAGTGCAGCGCGACCCCTGGGTGACAATGGGCCGTCCACCGGTCGACAATAACGGTAGCGCGCGGTGGACCGCCTACCTGCCCGCTTCTGGCCCGAACATAATCCGTCATTTTTGGTATCATGATGCATATCACGCCCCTAGGCGCAATTTCTCCGCGCTGTCCATCGCTTCTTTCTCTATCCTCTCCTCCAAAGGATCCAAGTTCCTCAACTTCTTCATCTTCCTCTTCTTTTTAAAGCAAGTCAGACTCTTTTTATACCGGTAGATTTTTTTGCTGTATTTTATTTTGGAATCCGATCCAGATACCTAAGAGATTCAATTATGCGGATCCGCCGGAGTCCGAGCGAACACCGAGTGTTGTCTTTCAAAGCCTCCGGGGGCGCGGGCTCGCAGATAGCTGACGACCGGCCCGACACTTGTTCTCGCGCTGATATTAAATGCAATAACATGATAGGCTGCGGTCTCTGTAGGGCGAACGGCCTACAGCTATTATAGACTTTACCATGCTGTTCAGCATGTACACATGAAAGCAATATTTTACTCCTTTCTTTCACCCATAAAGTTCGTAGGGAGATGTCGACCTCTTGTGCTTTATTTTGATTTGTTGAAACCATGGGTTGGGGGAGATATGAGCCTTCGAACTCCGGTTTAACATTTTGGAATAGTCTTGGGATTGCGGTTGTGCGATTTTAGACATTCGTGGAAA